AGATCAACTACAACTACATCGTTAAATCTAAAGACGATCTGCTTCAATTACTAGTTGAATGTTCCAGCAAACGTCGCATACCTGTGACTCACCTAGTTGCTATAGAAGGATATGCAAAGACTAGGTATATGCATTGCATATCAAGAGAGCGGAATTATTGCAGTAAAATATAATGAACATTCATTTTTGACTATTGGAACCTTATAAGATCCTATACAAAGCTGGCTACTATCGGTCATGAGAATGGAAATAATTTAGAGAGAAATAATTAAGGATAATATCTGAATACTCTATGAGACTTAAGCCTATTGTTGGTTAGTGAATAAATAAACTATATGACCCCTGCATTCTATTTTACACATAAATTACAACATTTACTAATAGAAACCAATAACTTGGGTCCTTTACAAGATTTTAATTCTTAACAATATATTTAATGTATGGAACCCCACGTGATTGTTAGAACTATTTATCATTATTGATGTAATGGCCTAACCATTAAGTATAACCGACGATTGGGCTCAAGCAGAAACGACTATCAGGTGCTGATACTTAAATTATGAACCAATCTGACATATGGTAAAAAGCTGAAATACAAAATAAAATACAAATTTACAATGTGTAGAATAAATGTTAAGATGAACGAAATGTCAAATATAATTGATAGCACAGTCCGTTGAATGCGAGAAAATGTTGTACTTTCAAGAACGTTTAAATTTCCAGTATTTCACGGTGAAAAGGTTCAAATATATGAAGAGCAATTTGAATGCTTCAGATACAATGTTATAAAATTAACTAACTCTGTGGTTAGCCACGAATTGTGTCCAAGATGACGTTTGTCCTTAGAATGTTCTCCAGTACTTGGATGACCTTACAATTCAGTTCGATACGTGTAAGAAAAGGAAAAGGTAACGATGATACGATGTTTTAAAGTTCTTACAACTTCTTATAAGGTTTAAAGATGAATAATCCTCCTAGACTGGAACACATAAACAGATTAAGAATATAATCAAACGAACTATATAAATTGAGGAAAGGCGTAACAGAATAATTGACATAAATAATCCTTATCACATTAATTATTTTTAAACTATTGGACACTTTTCATACAGTAATTAAAGTTCTATCCATTTCAAAAAATATAATGTTTTGAGCTTATGTCAGTCTGTTATGTACAGTGTATATACAAGTTTTACCTTTTATCCTTTTTATTTTATTTTATTTTACCATAACACAGATAAAGTATCTTAATCTAATAACAAATTTTTAAAATAACTCATTTTTAAAAATATAAACTAAAATATTTTTTAATGCGGTGACCCTGCAAATAGGGTGGACAATTTCGGCCATTTTACTCGATCTTTGATAGCGTGTCTTGCTAATCAGTGTTGCTATTTAAAGTTTTCCTCGATCTATTATAGTTTTCAAGATAATAGGGAAAATCAAAAAGTGGTAAAATTCGTCATTTAAAGGCAATAACTCCAATAAGATGATGTCTGACTGTTTTGATGTAAACTGGCAGTATGCAGATCTTAACATTCCAATCATTTTCTGTATCTATAGCAATTATCAAGATAATAGACAAAACTTGCATTTTAACCCTATGGCAGGAAGGGTTATCGGAAACATTTTAAAACTAGATACCGCAATGATGATAGTGACTAAGTTTGGTTAACGGACGATGGAAACAAGTGATGACAAAAGTTCCCTTGACCCTTATGGGCAGATGAGATAAAAAGATACATAGATGCATTAAATTTGAGGGGTTAATGTAATATAATTCAATATATCAATGGTCTATTATAACTATTTTGTACAAAGAAAAAAAAATGAAAGAAATTAAAGTTTTAATAGACAAAAATGTCATTCCTAAAACACACGAAAAAAATATCGTGATCTAGATATAATCTGAGCATAAAAATTTGAATTTGCCAGTACTTTTCTTAAAGGATGTTTAAATTGGCGACGTAACATATATTTTGTGTAATATAGTCACCGACTTCGTTTTTTGTCTAATATTGAATCTATAACATATACCTGGGCGTTTTTCAAAAAATGTCCACTTTACTGTCCAGGGCTTCAATTGTGATAAAGTCATATACATATGTTTTTTATTTTTTTTGTCTCAGTCTATAAATTGTACTTATTAAAGACAACGACAAACACTTTTTGTCTGCTTTGTTGTAAGGACTCTCTCTGTCCACATTTGAAAGTTTTTTTTTCAAATTTTCAAAATTTCATACAATTTCCCACTTTTTTTTTTGTCTTTTTCAATGTTTTGTCATAGAGCTGATGATATAGGTCGTCTGCATTGAATCAATTGGCAAGTCCTATTGATAGCGTACTTTTTTACTTGTCCACTTTGCAACGTCTTTTTTTTTTTAAATGTTGACCTCACATCATTAAAACGTGAAGTTTATGAAATAAAATGTATTATCTAAGACAATAATCATAAAATCATATATCTGAGAAACCGCGTGTAACAACAATGGCTGCTAACATGTGAATACGTCCACTGCGCAACGATCCACTACACAACATTTCATTGCGAAGTGGACACAGATCGTTTCATAGGGGACATATACCGTTACGTAGTGGACATTTGTGAATATTTTAAAAACGGCTTGTAATATTTTCTAGTAGTTAAAATTGAAAATCAAATAGTTAAAGATAAAACCGTATAAAATCATTTATTTTGTCAGATTCTTGAAGAAAAAATACCTTTAAATTCTAATTTTTTAGCATGGTAGAGCCTTTAAAAAAAATCGTTGCGAATGGGACATCTTGGTACACCATGTTCACTTTTACAGACTTATCAAACTTACCGTTCAGTTTAGGTTGCATATTTTGTAATTAGTTTATACTGATGTTAAAGTATTGATTTGTACAATTAAATCACTTATTTCTCAACGTTTTTTTTTTTTTTTCATTTTCCAGTTGTCAAAAATGGACATTTTTTGGAAAAGGCCCAACTAGTTGGTGGTGAAAAACGTCAAAAAATAACCTTTTACGGCCTGCAAAGCGATGACGTTACGATTCTTTCGACGTTTTGTGGTATTTTTTCACATACATGTAGAACACCACTTTAAATAATGTATACCGTAAAAACGAAGTCGGTGGCCCTATTATTATTTACATCCTCAAAACGTAAATTTATGTATCAAGACCATCTAGTTTTTCAAGAAAAATCTATGTATTAGAAATTAGAGATTTGATGGTTCAAGACAAATTTAAGAAGTTTTTTAGCCGATTTTATGTGCTTTTTAAACAAATGTTTACCTATTTTGAAAGAATTAAATCAGTAATATTTCAGATGATAAAAGAGATAAATGCATTATATTTTCGATTTTCAGTTATAGTTCGACGAGCTGAAGTTGTATGCAAAATTTTACCAAAATCTGTGACATAGCCCATTAACTGTAACTTGACTTTAAATGACAACAACATACATGTTTCAGTTTGTATTTTTTTTTTAATCACTATACATTTTCTTCTTATGTAACAGTATTGTCCATTTAATTGAAAAGCGTTTATCAAAATATCTTTTTATTGGTGGTAACACGTAATGCTGTATATTATTATGTTTATATGGGGAAATATTTAAACCAAAATTGTAAAAATATTTAAAAATCAACGCAACAATAGTTTTCTTTTTCACTCAAATCTTATTCAAATAACTTTTAACGCTGTTCCTCCTAGTTATAATGTGAACATTGGCATATATGTACCTCTTTGTTGGTCAGAATTGTTCAAGTTCTATTTTTGCTAATTGATTAAATCTCAATTTAAGGAATACAATCCAGATGGGAGTTTTCATTTTAATCAGTTTTTGATAAAAAAAAAATCAAAACCATTTAATTAAAAGTGGACTATGAAAAGTTAAAATGCAAAATTATATTCAAATGGTAAGCAATCGTTAGAAAATAATTATGACAACTATTATGGAGAAGTTAAAGAAAAATTACGTTGCCAGGGTACGCTACAGAAAATGTATTTTATTGTTAGAAGTTCTTGGATTTAGCTTGTATCTAGCAGGATTTGCAACACCATACTGGGTAGCATTTCCATCAGAAGATTCAAAACTGGATTCTACTAGAGGATTGTTCGCAACATGTGTCAGAACGGCCGGTAAATTGAATTGTGCAGATATTCCCAACTTTTCAGGTAAAATATTTATTTGAAAATCGTTTCCGTTATGAGGCATGGATTACTGATTTAGTTATACTATCAACGATCAATAGTCCTTCTGAAGTATCTTAGACTTAAGGTCAAGTTACTGTAACAGTCTATGGGTCATGTTACAGATTTAAATAATATTTTGCAATTTACTGTCGTACACTAATCTTGAAAATAAATATCGAAAAAATAATGCATTTATCTCCTTTAATTGTGAAATATTATTGAATGAATTCCTTTAAAAGAAAGATGAATATTTGTATAGAAAGCACGTAAATCGATGAAAAACGTTCTTCAAAATGTCTTAAAATCATACATTTTTCAAAAACCCAAGCATTGATTTTTGCCTAAAAATTGATTAAAGTGGGAAAGAAGGTTTTTTGAAATGAATATGTGGGGCTGGAAAGAACTGAATATGAATATTCTTGCCAAAGAAAACATCGTATAAACACGGATCAAAATCTGCTATACAGATTGAAAAAGCAGTTGTACTGCAATGGCAATCAGAAACACAGACAAAAATCTACACCATAGCAATAACAATCGTTTTAAATAGCAATAAGGAACACATATCATACCGTATCTGCCGTACAATAGCAGTTGGTATGATGTAAAGATGAATCTGCTTCACAAAATGATGGATAATATTAAGTTTGTGTACAAAACTGAAAATAAATGTTTTTGCGACAAAGCTGTCCAAAATAGATAACCCTGCCTAGCAGCAGGTGAATATGAAAATAAAATTAATGTCGGTATTTAACTATTTCATCGTTAAAATATACATTTGTACATATTCATTGTAATTTGCAGATAAACTTATAGTTTGTATTGTGTTTGCGTGTCTTGCTTTGATATCGTACATCGTAATGGTGGTGGCTTCTCTTCTTGTCATTAACTGGTTAAAGGAGCAGCGTAATAGATGTACTATAGTTTCTATTGTTTCAAATGTGGCAACATGTAAGTATGATTTTAAATGCTTTTGACAGCCTACGTAATGATTGCCTATAACTATAAGTGAATATTCTCAGCTTAAATATCGGGCCTAAAACACCCTATGTTGGAAACCAATTTAGAATAATTATACATTTTAATGTACAATGTAATGCTATAAGTTGATCAATAAATAGCATATTTACCCTTATCATATCTTATGAAATAGGAGCACAAGTATATATGATCTGATGGAATTTATGTCTAAGGCACTTTTTATCTACATCATCAAAAATTGTTTATAAACGGTACATTTCAATTTTTTACCTTGCTAATGTATCTATTGCGTCAATGGTTGTTACGTCCTTAAATATTTTGAATTAATAATAGAAATGATTTCATTTAAATAATGCACTAACCAAGGCAGTGGGTTATTCTTTAAAACTCCAACATCTTTTTGTGTAAGGGTATTGCATCTATTTGTCTTCAAATTTTGATGGATGTATTGATGATAACTTGAAAAAAGATGACTTTCAAGATTATTTGTAATGAAAGATATTTGTGCGCTGCATTTGATTTTTTTTTTTTTTTCGTTTTTGATTCGTTATGTTTTCGTTTTTGATTTTGTATGTTTTCTATCTACATGTGGTGTAAAAGCACCAATCATCCAATAGTATTGTTTTGAGAATGGTCATTTATTTTTTTTTTTGCATTCTGTAAGTAAGATTCAACTACTCTTGCTACCGGAGATTTTTTTTGTTTTTGTTTGGATGTGTGCCGTGCAAATACACACCCATATTCCATTTGAGACATTGACTGGAAGATATATGCATGTTATTAATTGTAACTGCAGTGACTGTCATATAAGTCTGGACTGTGACAGTATATCGACAACTGTCACCATGAGGACCGTTCGAAGAGATTGTTATAAAACTAGCCAGTATTATATGGACATTTATTTTCTTTAGAATATTTCTTGAAGTTGAGTATATTTTTTTTACTCCTGATATTTGTTCTATACACCCATGAACAATATGAAGTTTTATTTGACATACTATCATACAAATCAAAAGGTCTATATTTACTGTGAAATGGTATAAATGTAAAGAAACTAGATTTATAGTCAAATGAGGAATGTATGATTTGTCAATATTGTTTGTGTACAATAATAATATACTTCATTCACTAGTGTTCATAATATAAATGTAAAAAGAATTCAGATTAAATATAATAATGGGTACAGTTCTTTACATCCATTTTATTCCATTTAAATGTCAAATAATCAAGACTTTTAGAAGTACCTATTAAACGATATATAGCCTTAATATTAATTTGAAGTGCATATACAACGTTTTAATGTTTTTCAAATTAGTCACTATTGTCATGAGAAGGAATAAGAGGAAATTAATGTTCAAACTGTCTTAAATATACAGTCCATTTAGCAGACCAGTATACATGTAAAACAAGTACATACTTGGATTATATGTCAGAAGGTTAACCGATTATTATCGGACTTTTAATGCAAAGCAATTCAAAGACCGCATTGTATTTAGGAATAAAGTTTTTTAATAAAAAAAAACAACAAGTTATTTTTTCCCATTCTACCATCAAACTCTTTCCACTATTACCTTGCAACCAAATTTTCATAAGAAATTTTGTAATAATTTTTTTTGTCTCTCTGTATTGTAATTTCTATATACTTAAGCAACTAGACCCTGATTTTCATTTTTTTTCATATGAGCACAGAACACCATTTTAAGGTTCTTTAGGGAGCTACCATTTGATTTTTATGGGGGGGGGGGGGGGGGGGGTGCTAGGATGAAATTTGAAAAAAAAGGCAGGACAGGAGTTTTGAGTAAAAAAAAAAGGCAGGATGAGCTTGGCAAAAAAAAGGCAGGATGACAATTTATGTAAAAAAAGTCAGGATAAACTAATAAAAAAAAAGGCAGGACCGAATAGAGTGAAAAATAAAAAGGCAGGACAGAGATTACAACTAAAAAAAAATGCAGGACAAAATTTTTCATCCAGTTTTTAGTTCTGAGAGTGTTTTAAGATGTAATAAATGTCTTGTACATGTAAAAATTATTGTACTGGCTGTTGCTCATAAAACACTGTAAGTATGTATTTTCAGATTGTTATTTTAATCTTCAGGAATTCATATATCAAAAAGTGTATGCAATATTATACTATGAAATTAATCAATTATAGTTTAACATATTTGCAAGAAATCAATGTGGACTGTTTTTTTTTTTTTTTCTCTCTCTTCAAATGGTTCACTTACTTATTCAATATTATATATAACCGTGTACGATTATTATTTAAACAGACGTAGATGTAGGTTATATCTCAATGAGACAGCAACCTAACAGCATGATAAAAATCGAAAAGACATCTACATTGTCTCATCAAAAGATAAGTGTATTTACAAAATGACAAACTGTAAAATGCAACTTTTCTAGACAAGATAAGGTCAAGTTTCACGCCAGTTACCAAATATTGGTCACCAAAAAAGAATTCTTTAAAGAACAGAAAATACCACAAGATTCTCTCATGGACTAAAACATTAAGATATGTTATGTTTGTATTAACTAATGAGTAATTACAATGATTTCTGTTGTAGGTATACTTATACCACTTACTCTGGGTTTATACGTCATCACCATAGAAGATTATTCTTTAGAAGTGGTGTTTTACCTAATGATCGTTAGTAATGTATTAGTTGTTATTACTGCGGGCCTGCGGATTTTAGACTTCAAGCTTCCGGAACCAAAGAAGCGAATACCTTTTAGTGTACCACCACTTACTACAATAAACCAAAACATCAAAACACCCATGTCAAAAGTTCAAAGGAAAACTGAAAATAAGCTAAAGCCCGCAATTTTACCTCAACGATATTTCCCTAAACCTTCGGATAAAAGACATACTCATCCTTTCTACAAAAAAGATGTGGACCCATTATTTGTTAAAGTGTTATATGCAAAGGACAAAGATTCTGATAAATTGAGAGCAGTCAGACCTATCAATGTAAGCGTCAAATGAAAATATTAAACATAAAGCCGTTATACATTTCGATCAAAGCAAACTTACTCTGTAACCTACATTGAAAAGTACGTTTTTCTTTGTTGGTAGTAGCAAATCTACAAATAAAAATGTATATACCGATATCAACCTAGTATTAAGATGTTTTTTTTTAAATTGGTAGCGAGCAATGACCAAAACCTCGTTTCCTAACTAGTCTCAAAGGTGATCTAAATTACTTTATATGGAAAGCAGCAGCATCTCTATTTCCCAAATTATTAATGTTAATAAAAAAATATCACTGCGAATTACAGGAACACATAATGTCATTTATAGGAGTAATTCCTGAACCTATAACTATAACTTTGCTATAAAAAAAGGCAGAAGATTCTAAAGGAACAATAAAAATCAAAATGTGAAGACACATCTACAACATCATATCAAAGAATGAAAAACGACGAAAAGACAGGCAACAGTCTACAGAACACTTCACAGAAAGACTCATAACAAATATACTTGTTTGAAAAAAACTACTATAAGTAAAAAGTGTTCCATTGCTACGCATGGGACGTAGTTGAACAGTAAAGCGTCATCAAAATTTTAAGTAAAAGACGACAACAGAAGATGGAGAGACAAAATATTTACAGAGAATTGCAGAAATTTCTAAAATAAATCAACGAAACTATCAAATAGATACCAGGTTTATAATTTTGTACGCCAGATGCGCGTTTCGTCTACAAAAGACTCATCAGTGACGCTCAAATCAAAAAAGTTAAAACGGCCAAATAAAGTACGAAGTTGAAGAGCATTGAGGACCCAAAATTCCAAAGGTTTTGCCAAATTCATCTTAGGTCATCTATGTTTGGGGTAGATCATCATTAGAAGCGCTTCAACAAAACAACTTATTTATATTATACATGTACAACACATAGTAATAGTCATAGAGAAACTTGGTTGGCTTTAAACCAATGACACACATGTCGAGATTGATATAAAGAATGATGTTCATTAGAAAATATGATCCACTTTGAGACGTATCTAAGTTAATAAAAATTAGTGGTTGTTAACGGAAGAAATTTACACGAACTTAATTCATTTTATAAAATAATTTCTCTATTCTTTGTCGATTTTCCGGACCCATTGTATAAAAAATAAACTGCTTCGCCGAGCGCAGCTGGATGCGATCGCAGAGGTCCAACCCTGAACATTTGGGACAAAAATGGACACAATATTCAAGCTTGATACAGGTCTGAATTTGGATTGTAATTAAATATTTGACACATTATAGGTTTCTGACACAGAATAAATGTATTCAAAGAACCTGAAATTGGTTATATGATTTTAATTTATATTCAATTGAAGATTTCTTGCTTTTGTGCAATACACTGTGCTGTTGCCGAATACTTAGTAAATTAGATTGTGATCCCCAATTTTTCTTTGGAAAATTGACAATTTCTTCCCCCCCCCCCCCTCGCTTTTCCAAAAAAAAATAATATTTGAAGAAATTTTCTTTTTGCTTTCTTAAATCTTGAGTGAAAAAAAAATTGCCCCCTCCCAAAAAAAAATTTTGTTTACCCCCCAATTTTTTTTTACCCCACCCCCTTTTCCAAAAACAAAAATTACATTTGAAGAAATTTTCTTTTTGTAAAATGTGGTACAATGTGAGAGACATCAATACATTTAAACACAAGTTATTGTCTGAAAACTAGAAAAATGCTTGTTTTAGACCCTTGTTGGCCCCAAATTATTCCTGAACGGTTTGGGCAATTACCTCCAAAATGAATACCAACCTTCTACTTGTAGTATTGAACCTTGTTGTACAATTTCAGAGCAATCAAAATATTTACAAACAAGTTGTTGTCCTGAAACTAGAATAATGCTTATTTTGGGTCCATTTTTGGCCCCTAACTCCTAAACGGTTAGGACCATAACCCCCAAAATCAATCCCAACCTTTCTTTTGTAGTATTGAACCTTCCTGTAAAGATCCATTCACGTAAACTAAAGTTATTGTTTGGAAACCAAATGTGTCTTCGGACGACGACGACGACGCAGACGACGACGACATCACAGCATTATACGAACCCCAAAAATGTTTTGCGGTCGTATAAAAATTAATCAACGTGTGGTGTCCAATGATCTCAGAAGATGATTGGATAAGTTTAAGGGTCAGTGTATGTTCACTGGTGTTAATATGTCTTTTGATTGAGTTAAGCCATTTCAATTGATATTTTATCGTGTGTCTTTCTATGTTGTGATGTTACACTATTGTTTCAGATAAGGGTGAAGGTTTGGTACCATTAAAACGTTTAAACCCGCTGCAATTGTTTGCACCTGTCCTAAGTCAGGAATCTGATGTTCAGCAGTTGTCGTTTGTTGATGTGGTTCATAAGTGTTTCTCGTTTCTCGTTTTTTATATAGATTAGACCGTTGTTTTTCCCGTTTGAATGGTTTTACACAAGTAATTTTTGGGGCCCTTTATAGCTTGCTGTTCGGTGTGAGCCAAGGCTCTGTGTTGAAGACCGTACTTTGACCTATAATGGTTTACTTTTATAAATTTTGACTTGGATGGAGAGTTGTCTCATTGGCACTCATACCCCATCTTCTTGTATCTATATAACCTTTATTAGCTCACTCGATGAATCAAAAAAAGTGATAACAGGTGTTAATGAAATTGACAACTTTGTGGGATGTAGATGGCACTCGAAGGGAATTTTCAAAAATGAAAATTTATTTGATAATCATTAGAGAAACAGATTCTTACACAGTAACTCGGGGATTGTCGGATTTATCAAATCTCGATAGTTAAATTATCAATTTTAAAGTCATCGCCGAGGCTCGGACTTTGAAATTCGATAATTTAAACTATCTCGATTGAATAAATCCGATAATCCACTGGTACCAATGTAAGAATCTATATATAAAAATGTATTATTTATATATGATTCTACCTGAAGGAATATAATACACAATGTATCAAAAAGTATATTATTCCTGAGACTTCTATTAGTCTCAGATTACACTCATATTTTTATGGTCATATTGCTTATACTTTTATAAGGTCCGTTCTGGTTCTGTTGTTCATTAAGTAATCAAGTTTATACCCTTGACATTCTTGGGTTTGAGAGTTCCTGGTGAAAGTAAATCAAGAAAGGTATTTCGGACACAATTGTTTAAAAAGGGTTTAGGGAGCTACCATTTGATTTTTATTGGGGGGGGGGGGGGGGGAGATTTAAAAAAAAAAGGCAAGACAGGAGTTTTGAGTTAACAAAAAAGGCAGGATGAGCAACTTCGAAAAAAAAGGCAGGATGACACTTTATGTTAAAAAAGTCAGGATAAACTAATAAAGAAAAAGGCAGGACCGAATAGAGTGAAAAATAAAAGGCAGGACAGAGATTACAGCTAAAAAAATACAGGACAAAATTTTTCATCCTAGCACCCATCCCTCCCCCCCCCCCCCCCTTCCCCCCCGCCATTAAAATCAAATGGTAGCTCCCTTAGGAATTGTCCTTCAAATCTTTCTTTTTGAGTGAGTAGACTAATTAATAAAGTTATAATCATACTGTTTTGTTCAGTTTTGGCATTTTGAACTTTCATATGAACATCATTGTTTGAAGCAAAACTAACATTTTCCGTGTTTTATGTATGTAAATTGTGTACAGGTTTGTTTTGGCATTTCACAGTGCCTTGTCTTTCTGTATTGTTGTAGGCGTAACTTCTCTACAGAATCTAATGTTAAATACACCCACTGTCATTAGAATGTAAGGTGACATGATTTCCTATCTGCAGGTTAAGTACTTTGAGCTTGTTTTCAGTAAATGCATGTATTGTTAGATATGACATTGTTAATTAAAGAAACCTTTGTGAGCACACGATCACATACCCCACGCCCCCACATTGTCACTGGGCAAAAATCTCACTAGATTCCTATGTTCATAGACTCTCATCTCCTACTAAAGTCAACTGATAAAATTTCTTGTGGATATGCACATCTACATATTATGTCCTTATTATCTACACAGTTTCATAAAATTATGTTGGTGCTTTCAGAGGAGTTCCGATAAGAAAAATGTTGCAGTAGTATATTTAGGCCAAAATTGTACGTTCAAAGTGGCTTAACTCATAGAAAAAAAAATGAATCGTAATTCCCTGTCGATATGCACATCTACATATAGTATGTCCTTATTATCTACAAAGTTTCATGAAATTCTGTTGTGTGGTGTCAGAGGAGTTGCAATGACAAACTGTTGCAGTAGTATATTTAGGCCAAAATTCTAAGTTCAAAGGGGCATATAACTCCTAGAAAAAAATTTGAATCGCAATTTCCTGTCGATATACACATCTGCATAGTATGTCCTTATTATCTACAAAGTTTCATGAAATTCTGTTGTGAGGTTTCAGAGGAGTTGCGATGACAAACTGTTGCAGTATATTTAGGCCAAAATTCTAAGTTCAAAGAGGCATAACTCCTAGAAAAAAATTTGAATCATAATTTCTTGTCGATATAAAATTGAGAATGAAAATGGGGAATATGTCAAAGAGACAACAACCCGACCAAAGAGCAGACAACAACCGAAGGCCACCAATGGGTCTTCAACGCAGCGAAAAATTCCCGCACACGGAGGTGGTCCTCAGCCGGCCCCCAAAATAAAATTGTGTACTACTTCAGTGAAAATGGACGTCACACTAAACTCTAAAACATATAAATTAAATAAAATTAAAAAAAATCATATAAGACTAACAAAGGCCAGAGACTCCTGACTTGGGACAGGCGCAAAAATGCGGCGGGGTTAAACATGTTTTGTGAGATCTAAACCCTCCCCCTATATCTCTAGCTAATGTAGAATAAAGAAACACATAGCAATACGCACAGTAAAATTCAGTTTAAAAGAAGTCCGAGTCCGATGTCAGAATAGGTAACTAAAGAAACTAAGCAAAACGACAATGATACATAATTAACAAAGGACTACTAGCAGTTACGGACATGCCAGCTCCAGGCCTCAATTAAACTGATTGAAAGATTATGTCTTCATCATGTGAAAATCAAGTACAATCCCTCCCGTTTGCGGTTTAGTATCATACCATCATAAAATATATGAGAAAAACATAACCCGTATCATGCTAACAACTGGTTTTAGAATAAATGTGTTTATTTCC